GAGCTTCACACAGGACTGCTCCACCTTCATCTGTCTTTATTTTGTTAAATCATTTTTCAATTTTGCATTCTCTTGGAAGGCTAGTGTTGCATAAACTCCCTCTTCTCCTGGATTTTCCCCAGGGATTCAGCAATGATTTATTTGTAGTAATGGGGAAATGCCTGTTAACAGGGCTTACTTGAAGGAGCACTCTAAACTATTAAATGTTGCCATCAGCGATGTCTGCATGCATGATTAAGTAAAGGTCATCTGGGAATATGTCAAGCTGCTCAATGCATGAACAGCATGTCAGAGATAGAAGGATGAAAGCAGAACAGTGGAACAGTTTCCTTTTTAAAAAAAATTCCAACAGGTTGGCTTTTAAAATTTTCATGCTTGCTCTTGATAAGAAATATAGCAACTGTGTGTTTTTAGAAGTCAGGTGTCTTTGTTTCTCATGTTTTACAGTAATGGCACAATTGCACAGTGTACGCCCAGCATAAGGGTACTGGCATACTAGAAACGATAAAAGATTCAATTTGCAGTGTTTAGCTTCTTTTAAAAGGATTGAAATCTTATTATATCTTTTGTTATTAATAGCTCCATCCACTTTATCATTTTTATTCTTCACTTCCGTAAATGTCAGATTTTAAGGTGGGGTGGCACTTAGAAAGGACCCTGGCACTTCCCAACAGTATCATTGCACAAATTCAGTAACACTAGCAGAGCACTGCATAATCTTTCTGTTGTGCAAGCACTTGCTCATGTTTCCATAACCACTTGCACAGATCTAACATCAGCTGTTTCATCTCTGTCACCTAGTTTAGAGCCTAACTTGCAGTAGTATAACATTATTTATATTAGCAGAACTACAAAGTTGGATACTGCCTGAAGGGATGTGTGTTGTGTGATTCAATTTTTAAAATATTGTTTTATTGTAAAGAATAAGTTTTCAAAGTTCTTGTTATTGTGAACTGGAGACTGTATTTTAAGGTAAGACTACAGACATGGTTCACAAATCACAGCAAGCGACGCTGTCTGGTTACCACAGCTTGCAGATTCTTGCATCAATAGGACTAGCAGATGATCAGGCTCTTTTTGGTAAGTCTCCCCACTCCTGCCACCTCCTTCTATCTCGGTCCTGCAGGCAACATCCTAGGAGACACCATGGGAAGGTAAGAGATTCCATCTCTGAAAGCAGAGTTTGGCTCCCCGTGGCTGCCACAAAGCACAGCAGAGCGGACAAGGAAATTGATCAGGTATCCTCACCTCCTGCTCTTAAGGACAGTTGCCTGATCCACACTCAGGGGGTTAGAAATCAGCTGGCAGGTAGTTCCGCACTGCTCAGCTAATTCCCCCACTCACCCCTCTTTCTTGCCCCCACTTGTTGAAGAGGCATCCCCAAGCCAATGCCTACCTGAGTACCTTGCTTGCAAGTAGCAGTGGTGGAGTGGGGAAGCAGTGCCTTCCCCCCTTTCTTGCTCTTGCTTGCCTGAGAGATATCCCCAATCCAGCACCCCCTAAATGTGATCTTGAAGAGACAGGCCATTCACCCCCAAATGTAGTGCACTATTTCCACAGCTGTCTTGTTATTTACTCTTTACAGATCCTAAACAGCTAACCCACTTACTTCATCTGAGGCAAAGTTTTAGAACACCCTTCTGACCTTCCAATATGGGCAAATAGTAATCATTAGTCATTTGAAGTAGATGAAAAGTTTGATAGCTGAGTTTTGTTTACATCCACAAGACCTAAATGGGATGAGAAATGCATTTTCTTTAAAGGGGGTGGGGGGGGGGACAGACAGCACCTCAGATAATGTCCTTCCTTGTAGACTGTGGCCTTCTTCACTTGCTTGAGCAACCTGAAGTCATTTCTTTTGCAAGGACCTTCTGCAGTGAACCTAATCTCTAATATTGCTCAGCATAAACACTGACTGGAAAGCATGGATTGATCTGAAGGAGCTGATGTGTGGACTCTGAGGGTGGAGGGAAAGGTTAGATTTACCAGCTTTGACAGGCTGGAATGTTCACCTGGAATCCAAGGGGTGAAGTTGTAATCTCCAATTCTGATTGGTTTACTGTATTTTATAACAATCGGTGATGGAAAGTTTTTGCCCAATGAAGCAGCCTATTCCCAAGCACTTCAAAGCAGACAAGGGATGAATTACCATGACTACAGGAATCTCTCCTGTAACGGGGTGTCTACTTTAAAACGTCAAGCTCTCTATTTGCATCTGACACTGACTAGATCTCCTGTACAAGCAGTTTCTTTTGTACCAAAAGTAGACCAAATTAAGGTAATATATAGGACAATATTGTAAGTTGCAGGGTTTTATTTCAAGAGCACAATTCTATCTACATTTGCCTTCTGAGCATTTACTGTATTTTTACTGTTAATTACATATTCCTATTAATTTGTACTGTTAATTGTGTATTCCTATTAATTCATGATTCAATTCTTGTAACCCAAACATACCACCATAATGCAGTAGCAGGCAGCCAGACACCTGAATGTATAAAGGGGGAACTGGGACTAGCCCCACCCCAACACTGCTATTACTGCTCTTTAGAATTACTCCTGCATCTACTGCTAAGATCATATAGGAAAAGGAAGGGCCCCAGAAATCACTGGCTTTCTACAGTAAATGCAGATAATATGCCCAATCAGTCATCAACATCCAATTATTTTTATATTGAATTGCTTTGTTGTTATGTGCCATCAAGTTGTCTCCAACTTACGCTGAACCTAGGAGTGAGCACCCTCCAAAAACTCTTGTCCTTAACATTCCTGCTCAACTTTTGTAAATTCAATGCTGTGCCTTCCTTTATGGAGTCAATCCATCTCATATTTGGTCTTCCTTTTCCTTATCAGGCGGTGAAGGCAATTTTAGCATTGTGTTTCATTACATAGCCTTGTGCCTACAATATCCTTTGACGCTCTTTTTCCTAGCCATATAGATATTGCTTTTGCAGCTCTGTTTTTCCAAATTACCCTTACACAACAAATCTATTTGACCTCATACATGGAAACAATGTCATATTTCCTCCTTGTGAAATGTCTGCTCTTTTTGGTCTTCTGCCATTCAGAATTATAGCATCAGTATTTCTAAGAGGGCACATTTTTGTCATCAGCCTTAAGTTAAGATATTCCCAGTACATGGAGGATTTCTCCTGGACTGGTTTCACCACCACCTCTTTTAGGCAGCCCAGAACCACTCCCTGGCCCAGTTGGCTGTTTTCTCCCAGCCTAAGAGGGTACCTCCTTTCCTGCTGCTTATTTTAACCACGATAGGTCAGACGAGTGGCCTGGAAAGGCAAAACTCCAGCTGTGTTGAACTTTCAGTCTTTTATAGGTTCCAGGCTAGCATTACATACTGTCAGCACTAGTAGAGTCAAAGAAAGAGTTCAGCTCAAAAGAGCATTACTGCTCAGACGCTTCTGCATAGCAACACAGTTCTGATTCTTTACCCTATCTCACAAGCAGAACAGTATAGATCAAGGTACCTGCTGTATGATGCTTTATGGACAGCATTTAATGGGCAAGCTCTAAACATGTGGAATGACAGCTCTCCCCCATCCAGTGAGGGTTAGAAGAAGTCTTTCCAAACCGTTTTAGTGTCAAAATAGACATCTTTTTTTGCCCTTAAGTGCAGCTGTTTTCTTACAAGTAGCACAGATGGAGGGAGGGGGTGCAATCCAGACAGGGCCCCTTGCATGTGGGTAGGGGAACACTGCTTGCTGTAATCTAGTCAGGCACTTTGCACTACCTATTTGCATGGAGTCCCCTTTTGCTCCAATGAAAGTGCTTTCCACACAATTCCTTTCAAGACTACACCAGGAGTCAAGAAATTTAATCCTGTGTACCTGTCACGCCACACACCTGATCCAGCTGGTGTGAGGCAAGCAGAAAGACACTGTGAGAAAAGGCCTCTGCACCACAAGGCCTAATTGACATGATTAAGGGCACAGGTATTCTCGCAATTAACAAGAGTGCACAAGGGGAGCAAAGAACAGCTGTTTTGATTGGACTTGGAAAGTGTTCTATGATGGCCGGGAAGGGGGTCAACTGGTAAGATATTTTCCAGATTTGGTACTGCATTATTTCTTCTAGCATCCTTTTAATTCCTGTATGTGCCTTAATAAAAACAAAATTATGAAGACATCACTAAGTGTCTAATGTCTAGTACTGCCTCCTCCAAAGGTTACTGAAAAAGGCTGACCTGAATTCATCAATAAATAACAAGGAAGCAGGAAATAGTTTTATGGGGAGGAGCTAAGGAAAGGCTGGAACTGTGAATGAAAAAACACTCACAAGGCCTCGGGACAGAATATACAGTGGTGTCTCATAGTTTGAATGACTCTAACTTTGAATGATCCAGAGTTCAAATGCTAAAGTTGACCTAAAATTGCTCTGAAGTTCGAACGATGCTTCTACATTTGAACTGCATGCACAGTGAAAAAAATGTGGTTGCTAAGTAAACATCATCTATCGTGTGTCCAAGTCGTTTCTTGCTGGGAAACATCTCTTGCATTTAAGTTTATTGAAATGGGTATTTTTTAGGGTCTGGGAACGGATTCTCTTTTCATTATTTCTACTGGAGAAAGCTGATTCAGACTTCAAATGATTCAGAGCTTGAACCAATAAGAGTTCAAACAGCCTGCTGAAATGAATTAAATTCCAAATACGAGGTGTCACTGAACTAATAGTAGGAATAGTGGAAGTAAAGAGGAGATGGGCAAGGAGCAGGCAAGAAAGACATGCTGTAAAAGCACTGTAAGTAGGAAGCTGCATGCAGGTTAATCTAATTCCTGGTAGAAACAAATCTATTTCAAGTGGCAAATTCATCCCTCCCTGTGTCTCCTGATCCTCAATATATTTTTCAAAATAAGATGTACTGCAAACACCTAAAGAACACAGAAGGGAAGTGAGACAAAGGTCAAATCAAAATAAAAAGTTAACAAAATCTAAAACTTCCAGTGCATTCAATAGTCAGTGACAACAATTCTAGCACAAAGGATTTAATGAACACCATATTTAAATCATCTGAAAGATTAAGAGACAAATGTAGCTTACACATAACCAGATGTAGTTTAATTCACCCCATTACCTCTTCAGCCTCTAATGGTTTAAAGTACAAATGATCACTCATTATGACTGGGGGAAGCATTAAAATTTCTGGAATAAAGAGATACAATTACTAACAGCAGTACATTTTCATACATTAAGAACTATGTTGCATTTTCCATAAAAACAGGCTTAAGAACACAAGTTTTTCTCAATGTAACTGTATCTTCACCAAGTTTGCAACTTTTATAATATCTGAGATTCAGAAGCTGCAATTAATCACACAAGAACATTGGAATGTACTAAAATAGCTTAACTTAAAATGTTTTAAGGATTACAAGAGTTCCTAAAAATGCACAAATAACTGGCAGAGTCAAAATGAAACTATAGGGTATGTGTATTAGGAAGTATAGTACCATAAAGTATTACATGAAGGGTTTTCAATTGAGAGAAGTGCAGCAGGGCTAGGAAGAATGATCATGGTCTGGTACCCATTCGTTATTTGTTAATTCTGTGGTGTCCTCTGCCCTCCACACATGTAATTTCTCACTCAGAAAGACAAGCACACAAGGAAGAATGACATTTAGTGGACAGACCATCGTAATTAATCCTGCCCATAAATTAATCACTGTAATAGCCATCCATCACATCACTGGGGATCAAAAATTTAAAGCTGTGAAATAGTGAGTTAGGAAAATGGCAGCGTCTCTACATCACACAAACAAAAGTGGGTTTATAGTGCAAGAAGGGAGGTGCTCTCCGGTCAGAGATAACAGAGGGGAGTAGATCAAGATACTAATGGCAAGATGTTCCACATTAAAACTACAGCACCTGGCCCCGGCCCCAGTGAGGGCTGCGTTGTAACTTTAGACAATATACTATCAGAGTACAAGAAAGTGTACAAAGGCAGCAGATTTATGTGGAAGGTCAGTAGCTCTCTGCTCATTCTAGCAAAGCATAGTCAAAATGTGTTAAGTTTCTTAATGTGAATGTCACTCACAGATCTTCATATTCATGGAATCTTTGACCCTGCTGATAATCAGGCCCAATGTCAGTATTGACTACATGCTGGGATCCATCGGCCTTACAGGGCTGTAATTGATACCGGCCTCCGCTTAAACATATTTTATGTTCTGCAGCATAGGATAGAAGCACTAGGCGAGTAAGGGCCAGTCAATGCTTCACATGAGCTACCCTGAGGGGGGATGATGATGGCAGAGGTGAGCCCAGAGTAGCAGCCGTGGCACTGCTTCTTTACCATTGGTACCCACTGGTCACCACCGCTACTCTGCTCAGAGTAGCACAGGAGGAGCCACTGGTGCGCTTTTCAGGGAAGATGGGGACCACAGAAAAGCAGTAGTGGCTGGAACAGAGGAGACACTGCTCCCCAGTTGATCCCTTACAAAAAAGGGATCCCTCCCTTCATCTTTACCACCCCTAAGTAAGCCCATGGCAGCCAAGAAATACAAAGGGCTCTCTGGCCACAGGCGCTCAGACCTGGGGGGGGAGGGCGGGGGCTGTTGCTAATTTAATTTGCAAAAATTGAATGAAAAATAAAGTTAAATTATTGGGGTTCTTTCTCATTTATTAGAATTTGAAATTAAGCACTTCTCTTTTGATACCAAAAGAAGGGACATTAAAGGCTATTCTCAATCTGACAGGAGTGGAATAGAAGTAGGCAACCTGGTATTCTTCACACATTTTACATCAACTCAACACAACCCAACCACTTACAAGATACTATTGAAGCTGTAGTCCAAAAGATCAGGTTGCTACTCTTAAGGCATGAAAATGAATCCAATGAAAAATTGCTTGATTTTACCCCTAACAAGCTAGTGATGGGACGCAAAAAACAAAAAACCCCAAAACAAAAACCTATTATAAGTAATGGTTACTATTTTTTAACTTAACCTTTACAAAGCTTTCTGATGAAATCAGATTATTTGCAGAGTCATTATTTGTGGTGGTCTGGTACATGTCTAGCTGGAAAGCATGATGTGTGCTGTTTGTGGTGCATTTTACTTCCTTTTCTGCTGGAATAGTGATCACATACACATACCGAAGTACACACAGTAGATTATTTGCTATGCATGTACACCATGTTGCAAATTGTTACAGCACACAACCTTACTTTTCACAATCTAATACTTTAAGGTCCTCAAGCAATTCTTGGGCGAGGATTTGTAGATCTGCATTGCGACTCTTTGATAGCATAAGGATACGTGGAAGTGGCAAGGAGTCACGCATTTCAGGAGCTGACTTGGTTAAAATTTCTGGCTCCAAAATCACTGACTGGAGAAGGCGCAGAACTTGAAGACATACTTCTGGATCTGGATCTGGATGTGAAAAAGGAAGGAAGCTCAGCCACTCGTTGTTAAAATGCATAAAAAACAGAATTCTAATTGATCACCCCGATGAAGCTTTTCTAAGGCTACCCTTCTCACTAGGGCTATTCACAAGGCCCTCCAGATATCTGCCTCCATTATCAGAGTACCCACTGGCTCCGTTGGTTTGACAGAAAGTTTGATTGGGAGTGTATATGGGCACTATTGTCTGTATGTGGGCTATTCCATGCAATTTGGAAATCATGTACAGTAGCTCAATCACATGGAGAAGGCTACTCATTCAGACATTCTGACAAAGGTGTCCCAGACAGCATTTTTCTGTGTGCAGATGCTGGGGGGGGGGGGGGGAGAGCAGAGTGATATAGGCCCACACCTACTCCTCCTTCCCCAGGCTCTGTCATTCATGGAGGGGCACACACACAAAATGCGACTGTGTTAACTTATTCTTTGTTCCAAAATGCAGACTGCCTTAGCAAGAATTGTACTTGCACATTTATACCAAATTGGAAATACAGGGTTATATCCAATAAAGCTAGTTAGAATGAATTCCCCTGCCCTGCCATCTCCCCATGCCTGCTCCAGAGGACTCTCCAGAGCTGAATCAGAGGGAGGAATCTGACAGAGGTGAGGGAGGACAAGAAGGTAACTCCTTCTTGCACTACCAAACAGTCACTGATCCAGAGTTGAAGCTCACGACTGCTTGCTAGGACAATGGTTTTTCAAATGATGTGATGCAACAACACAAAGCTGTGTCACAACCTGATGCATTCCAAAATCAGTTCTGCTTTAAGAATTAAAAAAACCCTTTCTGATTTCAGCTGAGGAAGTACTGTGCTTAGAGGATACATCAGCAACTAGCATTACATTAACGGTGCAGTGTACATTTTTTGAAGAATGTGCCAGCCAATTACATGGAACTTATTTTGAAGAAATACATTTAAGACTGAGCTGCCATTCTCTCTGCTTCTCACCAAGTGGTTGATCCTAGCTCTTAATAAGCAATATTGGATGGCTTTCACCATGAAGCCAAGTGCTTCTGTAGTACATCTCACAGAAGAAAAAGATTCTGGATAATTATAGTTAAAGATCTGTACAGGACTAGGCTAAGAAGTATCACCCACAAAAAGGAACGAACTGAAGGGGGCTGTGGCATACAGAATGCCCCTATGTACTTTTAACAGTTTTATTTTCAAGTAATTTTAAAATTAATTTTAAAATAATCAATTCATTAAATTAATCCAGTTTGCATTTCTTCTGTGCTTGCTTGCTGCCTCAAGTCTCTGCTTCTCTGTGCTATTTTGCTTCAGAATAATGGAGGTTCTCATTGAGACCATTAGGTGAGGCTGCAGCACAATTCTAGTGAAGCAACACTGCATTGCCTAAGCACTGTAGAGATCCACTTTCTTCCTCTGATTCAACCCTTTGCAGTTACATGCACTCCCTCAGCTAAGGAAAAAAGGGAAGGTCCATCTTTGAAGCCTACAAATGAGGTCTGGAAAACAGAAAAAATGTTCATCTAAGCTTTAGATCTGCAATACTACCAAGACAATATTTTTTGAATTAGTAGTTAGGGTGCATTAAAAAAATTACATATCCTCTGAAAGGACTGGTGTGCTTTCAGTAATTAACAGTATTAATTTATCTGTCATATAATGAAAATATTGTGCATGCTTGTACATACTCATGGTTTAGAACTGCATGTATTGATAATGTAACTATCAGGGTAATAAAATGGTTTCAAAAATAATTTACTACAACCTACTTTAATCCTAGGGACACTTTCTTAAGAGCCAGTGCATTCTGCTGAGAAAAGAAGTAACTGATAAAGTCCGCAAGATACTGTCCTTAGTATTATACTCTCAGATGAACTATTCAGTACAACAGTCCTTATGTTGCATTACATCAAAGCTAAACCGTTAATCTGCCATAGAATCTGGAAGTGTGGTGTCAGTTCAACTGATATGTGCCTGAATGGTTTTTGGTCATCAGAGCTAAGACTTATTACACTGACAAACAATACTTGAAGTTTGTTACTAGTTCCCCAGCACCTTATTTGCCTGAAAATTTGAAAATATACTGTGGATTCATTATTTTAGATATTTTAATGTTATTTCCTCTTCTCTTGATTCTCTGCATTCTTTTGTAAGAGTTTTCTGGATAAAACAGCTAAGCTGAACTGTCAAATATCCTGAGTCCAGCAAATCCCAACACAGCCCAAAATCTAACTAAAGCAATGGGATAGTTGATGGCTCTCTGTATCTCACCATTCCACAGCGAATCCTGTCTGGATCACCAACTCAGTCCCCTAGAAAGCCCTCAAGACTATTCAGAATATTAGATTTCATCAGTCTCCTAAGGCACCCAACCCTGCAGTAGAGAATACTATGAGTTCAAATCTCACCAGGAAAAAATGGCTTGATCATGACAATGGGCTTACTTGGAGCTCTCCCCCTGCCCCCATTCTTTATCTTGGAGCAAAGACCAAGAATATCTCCTGCTTCGTGTATAAGGGCAATAACAAAATGAGATAGCCCCATTGGATTCCCTAGAGGCCACGAAGTCCAGACATGAGACTCCAGAGGCAGTTTCAACACAGAACTTAAAAGTCACCCAGGACCACCATCCTGTATTCCTCCAATAAACCACTCAAAACCACTTCTGTCAGCTCAGTCAAGGGAAATGCTAGGCAACATTGGTAGATGATACCCAGCTCTACCTCTCTTTTTCAACCAATCCAGGTGAGGCAGTGGCTATACTGAACCGGTGCCTGGCCGAGGTAATGGCCTGGATGAGGGCCAATAAACTGAAGTTCAATCCAGACAAGACAGAGGTCCTGCTGGTAGGTGGTTTGAACTCCTGGGTAGGTGACTTGGATCTTGTCCTGGAAGGGGTTGTACTCCCTCTAAAGGACAGGGTCCACAGCTTGGGAGTGCTCCTCGACCCAGAGCTGACTTTAGAAGCTCAAGTGTCAGCAGTGGCGAGGAGCGCTTTCCATCAGCTTCGGCTGATTCATCAGCTGCGCCCCTACCTGGAGGACGACTGCCTAGCAACAGTGATGCATGCATTGGTTACTTCCTGGTTGGATTTCTGTAACGCACGCTACGTGAGGCTGCCCTTGAAGACAGTCCGGATACTTCAGATGGTGCAAAATAGAGCAGCCAGGTTGCTGACAAGGACTGGGCATTATTCTCATATAACCCCAGTCCTCTACCAGCTTCACTGGCTTCCCATCGAAGTCCAGGCTCAATTCAAGGAGTTGGTAATCACTTATAAAGCCCTTAACAGCTTGGGACCCAGATACCTAAAGGAACGCCTGCTTCCTTATTTGCCCTCCCGCCCCTTGAGATTGGCAGCAGAGGCTCTCCTCCGGGAGCCTTCCATGAGAGATATCAGGAAGCAAAGTACCCGGAGGAGGGCCTTCTCTGTGGTGGCGCCCCACCTATGGAATGTGCTCCCCAGAGAGGTCCGCCTGGCGCCATCGTTATTTGTTTTTCAGCACCAGGCTAGGACCTTTTTATTTAAACAGTATTTTAATAATGTTTAATATTTATAGATTTTAATTGTGCAGCCAGTGTGTTTCCAGGTTTTAATTGTAATTGTTTTATTTATTTATTTCTGTGAGCCGCCCCGAGGCTATGTAGCAAGGGAACGGCATAGAAAAACTTTAAATAAATAAATAATAGGGGATACAATATACCAGCAGCACCCTCAATCCGTCTTTATGGCCCAATACCACGAGCAACCCCTCGAGGCCCATTACATGGTGGAGTGGTTTTCTGGTGATAGACATGGGCGTTTGGTGAGTCATTCCAACTTCCACACTGCCAGCTTATTCTGGCGCTGCATCCAAATACACAAGTGAGCAGGGCTGGGTTAAGCCAGCCCCACCCAGTTCACCCACCAATACACACGAACAATTAACATACTGGAAAACATTGCATGAATTTTATGATACTTTATGAATGTCAGTGGTATGTGGTCTGTGAAAATGTCTAGCATGTGGTGGTACTGCATCAATGCTCACTTAGAAGTACGTTCCACTCTGCTGAAGTGGGTTTTTTCCTCCTGTAAATTTGCTTAGAGTTCCAGCCTTTGATCATATGCACACTTATCTGGGTCTCATTGTACACAGTGAAACTTATGAGTCAACATGTGCTTTCTAATTTGAAATCAGGAAGAATGTGTGCAAGTTGGTGTAACACTGGTGAGCATAGTAACCCTATGGCTTATCAGGCAGCATCTGCAGAGTCCTAGGACAGCACATATCCCCCCTCCAACACACACACACACCCTGCCCTCCGCAAGACTATAGACACAGGCATGACCCTGGGTTGGGAATGTGATGTTTCTGTTCTCATCCCTTTCATGCCCCTCAGAAAACATCACATCTGGTTCTCTTCCAGGGATGCAGCACTACCCTTGGAACAGGTTGGGAAGAGTGTGATTTCTTTATTTATTTGTATTTCATTTTATGCCACCCAATAGCTCTCTGAGCAGTTAAAGTTAAAAACACACAAACAACAAAAAATAGCATAAGGCCATAAAAGCACAGTAATTGCAACTGAATCAGCACAGAGGCATAGTGGCAGTACAGGCCACATTCAATATTAAAACCCAAGTTAAGAGTTAACTGTTGAAATCCTGGGAAAAGAGACACCTTTTCACCTGGCACCGAAAAGAATGCAGAGTAGGTGCCAAGTATACCACTTTGGGAGCTTATTTCATAGGCAGGGTACCACTAACATTCCATTCCACTGGGACATTCCGGTGGGCAAGGAAGGCAAGAGGAAGAGGGGCCTGGTCCAGCTGAAGAGCCTTGCTACTGCTGCCCTCACCTACCACCTAGTACAACAGCTCAAGCTAAGAGGCCCATCTCACTGTAAATGTCTGAAATGGAGGCACAGAGAATACAAAAGCCCTGACTGGAGCCCTCCGTCCGTTAAGGACTGATCCCTTCAGGTTGTGCTGAAAAAGACTGAATCACAAATCCAGAAGCTCCAGAGTCAAATGGCATCTTTGCCATGAACTCTCTAGTGGAGCTTAGGTAAGCTCTACTGCATCTGCCTCAGTCAAGTCCCATCCGCAAAATGGGACAATACTGGAATTATTAATGTGCAGTATTATTATTTAAAAACTGTCCTCCGCATCACATGTTCTCAACCTACAAGGATGGCCTTTGTAGACACTTGTGCTGAGCAATGCATGCTCTCCAGCTGGTAACAGGAACTCTGCGTACTTCCATGCACTAGAGAGTGACAAGAGAATGTCTAATTCCCTTGGTGTTCTGTAAGATGAATCAGTTGCTTCCTCTTCCTCTCTCTCTCTGATTCCAAGAAGCAAGCAAGGTGTTCCTCATGTAAGTAACCACATCTCAGGTTTTTCTTTTGCACACTTGCACTTACACACCTAGCTTTAAAGAATGTTGGCTGGTTTATGCGTTCCTATCCCATCCTATACAAAAGTCTCAGTTAAGCCATGTCAGTTAGGCTTCAACATTATGTAATGAAAAGACTAATAAAAGTAAGCATTAAAAATAACTTCTTTTAAATCAAACTGCCTCTAGCTTCATTCATTGCCTTTCAAAGAGTGTGTTACTACACTGTCTTTAGATCAGAAAACTCTGCTGTTAGTCACACCAGACTAACTAACACCCCCATGCCCTCCTCCACATGCACTCACAAATGTCAGTGGAGAACTTTGTATGTATATTGACTGTATTCATAAAGACCTTACCATTCAGTAGCCACCAGAGTAATGGGAAGAACCCTGCACTTTCACTGATGTAATTCAACCCTTTCACATTGATACTAACGTTGTATAAGGACATCAGCATCAGCCTGTAATACATTTTTAAAAAATGATTGAATTATGAAAATTGCATCCCACTACAATAGATTGTACACTCAAGTTCCCAACAAATCTCAAGAGGCTGAATGCATTTTCCCCCCTTTAAAAAAAAAAGACACATATTTCAATTTTGGATAAACTTATACACATTCACAAAATCCCTCAAGTTCTTTGCATGCTTTTTAACCTATAGATGTGCATTATTCTAATACTGCACTGTCATAAAACCTTGCAGTGCTTAAATCCTGAGCTAACTGGAGGTGCTCCTGTGAATGCAGAAATCCTCTTAATTGGCATTCCCCAGTGGACAGCCTATCAGCCTGATTAAGCTACCTGTCCTGACAAAAAGGGCACTTTAAAAAACAGACCTGATACGGCTTAATATAAAATCAAACAATCACTAAGACAGTATTATCCTGTTTTGCTTCATTCCATCTTCTATCCAGCTTTAAAAATACCATTATTAAAAATCACCTTCTCTGAATAAACATCTCAAAAAACACCTTCTGTACCACATCGGTGTCTGGCTCCAGCTAATCTTTCTACCAACAAAGCTGTGGCTGTCAGCTACAGTAGCATGAACAGTCAGTCATTCCATATCAGCAAGTCAAACAGATTATTCCAGTAAGAGGTGTCCCGTTTGTAACTGGAAATCATGCTTTCAAGATCCATCTGGCCTCAGACCTTTAGTAACTGTCAGAGTGAATTCTAATTATTCCATTGCTTAAACTGGCACCTAAGTAAAAACATTTGTTCTGAATCACAATGCTTTGTTTTCAGATTACACAGAGACGTGTCATAGAAGGCACATGAAATTCCTTTTAAGATGGTGCTTGCCTCTGCAGTTTTTAGAAATACTTGCCATTATTTATTTTTCAGTGTGCTACCCAATTAATTCTGGCACTTTGTAATCAATTAAGCCTCTCGCCTGAGCTAATCTTTCAGGATGATCTGTGCCCACCTTTTGGAAAACTGAAGCATATAAAAACACTAGACTGGTAGCACAACTTACAGCAGCAGTTTCTGCTGGTTCTGCATGCAATCCTGAGCTATCAGGACGACTTCAGGTTACATCTTTGTTGTGATTGTCATGCTGCTTTTAAAAAATTAAGTACTGTGGAACGGGGCAATTAACAGAAGCATGGCAAGAGGGTTAAGAATTCTCTCCATTGAGATGTTCTTGGTAAAATTTGTAGTGTGTTTTTTCTTAATCTTAATAGTCACATAAAGGTGGAGCTGAGGAGTCCAAACATAACCCTACCCTTCATGCAGCTCCATTAACAATTCCTATCATACACCTCATATTAAATAATTTAAAACCCACAACCTTGTTCCGAATCCCATAACTAACATATCCAATTCGGCCCACAGCAACTTTTCAGACGCAGGCTCCATCATGTTCCAGGTGGGCTGCAGCTGAAGACTTGGACATGGTACAACTGGCGGGCAGCAGTCCTGCAAAGGGCTGCTTCAGAGAGGCAGAACATGCTGTTGCCAGGCTAGACACAGAGGGGGAGGGCTGGAAGAATCATTGAAGATGTTTCTGTCCCAAAGTAGCTTGTTTCTCATGGAGCTGTTGCCCTGCTCAGCCCTTTACCCACTCCATATTGCTAAAGCAGGGGAGTGGGATCAAGGGGAGCAAGAGCTGCATCTTGATAACTGGCAATATCATTTTTGGCTTCTTCAGGAGCTCTAACAAAAACCCTGTTGTCTCTTTAGAGGAAGAAAATACAATGACCTTGCAAAAAAGCTCTTCCCTTGGGAAGAAGTCATAAACGTCAACTGTGTCCTCCCAATGGATCAGTAATTTAGGCTGTTTCTGAGGGAGAAAAGACCCACTTATAGAGAAGGGACCTGGCCTGGCTACATTTCAGAGAGAAAAAGAAATGACAGCCTGAGTCATCACATGACTCACTTCACAGAGTCTTTTATACTTATTATTTTATTATAAGTATAAAAGGATAGAATGTTAATAAATAATCTTTTTAATTCTTCCAATAATAAATGTTCTCTGGGGGACTACGAACTAGTAAAAATAAAATACAAAATGAAATAGTTAAAATAATAAATTCAAAACAAAATGACAAAGCACAGAAATAAACAATTACAAATATCTGAACAGTCATAAAATCTAAAAATCAAGCCTCTACAATGCCTGGAAGAAAAGATGATCTTAGCCTGGAGCCAAGAAGATTTACATGTAGGTGCCAGGGAGCCACCTCTGAGAGGACATTCCATAGACAGCCAAAACTGCAAAGGTGAACCCTCTTACAGTCACCTGCCTAAGTTCTTTTGGTGGCAGGAACCAGAGGAAGGCATCTGAATTACCTAAAGATCCAAGCAGATACATATTGGAGGAGACGATCCTTTAGATTTGGTCTCAAGCTGTTTAAGCCTTTAAAATTCACCACAGAATGGAAGGCAGTGCTATTGACATTACAGGATTAAATTTGCCAGTTCCAGTTAATACTCTATCAGTTCCATTCTGAATCAATGGAAGTTTCCAAGCCATCTTCAGAGGTGGCTCCACATATGGTGCATTGCAGTAATCCAACCAGGAAGTTGCCAGAGTGCAGATAACGATCAGTTTCTCTGGACAGTGTTGGTGCTTGTATATTAACCTAAGCTGATGGTTCAAGTGCATCACCAAACCCTCATATTTGATAGAGACTGCTACCTAACCCCCACTTCAGAATAAGATGAGCACTGCTCATCAGGCCAGCTGAACCACCTAACAACTGTACCTCCATCCATTTCTATTGTACTCCAGTTTATGGGTCCTAGTCCATTTCATGAACCTGCTCATGTACCAGATTGTCACCACCTCATCTGGATTAGGCAGAAAGAAGAGGTAAAGTTGGGTGTCATCTGCATGTTGATGACACCTCAGCCCACATCTCAGATAGCCAGTCCCAGCAGTTTCATTTAGATGTTGAATAAAATCAAGTGCTGCAGAACCCCATGACATAACTGTCATTAAACAGGGTCAATAATGCCTCAGTACCAACTTCTGCAAATGGCCATCCAAGTAGAAATAAAGAACCAAGGTAGGGGTCTACCTGGTGTTCCACTGGTATAGTAAGCCTTCACCACAACAGAGAGTCCATGACATACTTATTCGAATTAGAAAAAGTCACCCAATATTTTTTAAGTGCTGCTACTCTTGATAAACCACTTGTCACTATTTACACAGCACTTTGAAAAGATACACACTGGATAAGTGCTATGCTCAGCTATTTTCAAAAGCCTCTAGAACTATGTTTTATAATAAACTGTTTTGCTAACGTATACACTTGCTGATGCTTGTACACACAGACACTTTTATTTCTTCAAATCAATACATATCTTTTTCTACCTCCATATATGATAGACACTAACAGTGCAATCCTATGCATGTCTAGACAGACCAAGTTCTACAGCATCCCTCTAGCTAGCCATGTAGAAGAGCGATGGATCAAGGACTCACAACCTCTTTGTGGGCAGACAACTGGCTGGTCGCTATGTAAACAGAATGCTGAAAGAGATGCTTGGCCCTATTCACCATGGCTCTTCTTACAGTTTTAGCCAGCATGAAAAATTTAAAACATTTTTTTGTAAATAAAGATTATTATATTATAGTCTCCTAGTTTAATAATATTGCTGCTGATGACCTTTAATCTACTCTCTCAATGTTTTTTTAAAGATTTGTTTACAAAATGCTTTTGTGAAGCACCACCTTGAGCCTAGAAGAGGTAGGTAGAACAAATAAATAATCGGTAGATTACCAGCCTTGCTATAATAATAGTACTATTGTGATTTTACTACAGCATTATTTGTCCTGGATGCAAAAGATTACAAGTTCTAGAACACCATGTTAAACACAAAATGGGAATAGTTGTGAAATTCTGGACATAATACAATCCAGTTTTGATGCCCCATCATATTTAAATTAACTATCCCCATTTGCCACAGAGGAACTGGTACCCATTAAACTTCTGCAGAAAGAAACTGTATGTTGTAGAAACAGTGGTTGTTCGCTGATGGATCTTTTGTTTAACCCTGAACAGAACTGGGTAAACGTGTGGATTGAAGTCAAGACTGCTGTCTGACCTATCCGTGTTTTCCAGAAGACATTTGTAGTAGTCTCTGGACCTCGATTCCTTCTAGGGCAAAAATACATTCCTACAACCACCTGGCTATAGTGGGAACTTACATTTTTTCCTCATAGTGGTTGTGCAGTAGGAAAAACCAAGTATTCTGCTTATGGATAGGCTTCATCTTGCTTATATAGTCTTTCAGAACCCCATAAATAACTGTGCCACTTCCTCTCCTCGGCATACATTTCTTAAGGATAAAGAAAGTGGGGAAAATTGGCTCTTGAGACCTGTGAAAGTAGGTCTAGGTTTGACACTCACATGGAATTAAACTATAAACTTAATTCTATGTGAGAAAAAGATGAAACAGCTATGGAAAAGATGATGGAAGCTGATCAAAGGAATTTCTTCTTCTGCAAGTCCTCCAAGAAGGCTTTGACCTAAAGGTAACCTAACAAGTGATAATACAAAAACATACTTCAAAGGTATTTATGCTGAGGCCAGCCCCTAAACCCATTTTCAGGAAACCCAAAGTATCAGTGCTAACAATAGATCTGGAGTTCTTTCTCACCAGTCTAAAAAAGTCTGTCAAATAATTATACAATGAGCACTGTTCACGGAGTTTCTTTTGGACATTAATAGGATCTTGACCACTTTTTTCAAAAGTATTAGCAGGCATCGCCATTCAATTTCTAAACAGTGATATATGAAAGGATGGGGTATTGAAGGCAAAAAGGGTGTCAGAAAAACATCTGGTCCCAGAAGGCCTACGGATCCCCAGATGACCAAACCAGCAGCTTATCAAATCTATAAATATTCTGGACCACCTTGGAAAAAGACAATTTCCATTCTCTGCTATCTGTTCATTCCCAAGGTATTACAATCAAGTGAGGGGGAGAGAAGGACACAGTGGTGAA